CCCAAATATTTGCTATGTCGGGCGCATGTCCAGTAAGTAAAATTGAGTAAGTTTCCACAACGTAGGTCCTATTTGTTTTTCATTTCGTTTTTCAGATTTGTTGTTTAAAATGTAATAAAAATTCACACCGTTCAATCTTACTGAACGAACCCGGGGTATGTTATAGTACAGTGTTGAATCCTAGTCTTAGATGGCGCCACGATCAAATTTCGCTCGTCGTACTACTTCTACTTTGCCTTCAGTGGTGCGATTTTCGAAACCATTCGAGTACATTTCGTACACGAAATTCGACTGACAGCAATGTAAATTAAATGGGGAGCAATCAAATTTCGTGTACGAAATGTACTCGAATGGTTTCGAAAATCGCACCACAGGCACTAAACTTGGATTGGTTTTCTTTGCTTTCCTAGCCACACTGACGAGACCTGATAGGTCGAAACGCGTCTGTGGATGGAATAGCGAGAAGAATCAATCCAAAATTTTCAGATAATAATAAAAGTATAAAAATAGCGACCCCAGGTTAGTTATACATAAGTTTGTCTTTCGAATCATTGAATTGATTGCGCACGTACGCATTGGGATGTCCGGAGCTTGCTGTACGAAAAAAGAGGCTTTCATCACTCTTCCTAACAATTTCTCTTGTGTAGCTACAGAGGTTTCATATACCAACGACTTCATGTAAACCCAGAGGAAAAAATCCAACGGGGTTGAATCAGGAGTTCACCCTTGTCACCTGATAGGCCCTAGGACCTTTTTTTCCGAATTATCGCCCACGAAGAAATTGTTGGTTTAGGTGATCCTGAACATTACGGGCAAATATGCAGGTGCGCCGTCATGTTGGAACCACATTCTAGCTTATATATAGGAACATGTGCATTGTCCAATAGCTCGGAAAGTACTCCTTTTTGGAACACCCTAGATTTTGGTTCAATTTCTGGGGCTTTGATTTTGATTAGAGCTTTGCTGCTTCGTGATGGTTTGGTTATGATCATTTTTCTCTGTACCTACATCCATATCTTTAATTTCAGTAATAAAATTTTCGGTCGCTAACTGTTCTCTCATTTCTGCTGTTACTCTGGGACGGGGGGTTAAAATTATACGGACGTCGGATATCGGTTTTATATTCTGGTAAACTTTTGACAGTTTTCTAATTCTTAGGTGCCAATGCTACAATCAAGCATTAACCATTGTAACATTCTCGAACTTCGCGATGAACAGTTCCAACTTCTTCACGTACCTACTTTTTTCATTGTATTGTTGAATTTATTACCTTGCCCCTCCAGGATTCCCTCGTGTTTAGTTTATTCTTTTTCCTTCCATCAGATCACGGTTTACATGAATCCATTCTCACTGTTTAAAGTGCTGTAAGCTGGCATATATGCTTCTTCTTTTTCTTTCTTTCTCGAACCGCCTCTTATTTTTTTGTTTTTGTCTTCGGACTTCCTTTTTCTTCTTGCCGATTTTCCTCTTCTTGGCTTTCATTCTGTTTTTGGTAGATTTCTTCTCAGTTCTCGTCCTTTTCTGTCTTCGAGCTTCCTCTTGTCTTCGATAATCTTTATGAAGTTCAGCAACATTTGATTAACTCAGTCTATTTCGGCTGTTTGCTGTCGTGTATTTACCATAGACCACTCTGTATACTTCTTGATGTCAAAACACATAAAGTTGTATGGCGAAGTAAAAAATTCTCGTACCTTGTCTAATTTTCAAAAAAAAAAAACAAGAAAAATAACTCTGTGAGCTTGTTTTTCGATTTAAAAAAAAAAAAAAACAGCAACACTATTCTTGTATCACTTTTGGTTTTCAATAAGTAGACCACTATAGAATCTTCTGGGTATTCTTCAGTGTTTTTCTGTGTCAAAACCAGTGAACACTCTTTAGGTTCAGTTCAACAAAACTTCACTTATTGTTTTCACTATGTAGCTCAAATCAAGTGGAACACCAATTATCTCATTCTTCTGACACCAAATTTCTGCAGGTTCATTAGAACCCCTTTTACTCATAACTTATAGTGAACTAATGACAAAATTCACTAATCAATTGTCGCTTTTACTTGAATTTTTACAATTTTCTAATTTGAACTGTCTCTAAGTTACAAACTACGCGCTCTCCAATTCCTTCACCCGTTGTGCACAGTGGAGTCGGCTTTTCCGCACAATTTAGATACTTTCGTATCAATATGTAAGTTTTATCTAAATTTTTTTCTGTTGTTACAGATAGCATTTGGAGAGGTGCGTTTTAATGTTCATTTTCAAAATTCACCCTATACCTAAGTATCATATTAAAGTCCGTCGATTTTAATCTGATACTTCAAAGGAATGTGAGCTGGAGGCTCCCTACATGAGAACGCCACTGGTCACCTGACGTCACATCTGTTTTTGCCATAAGCTTCACCCCCTCGCTCCTCACACGGAAAGTGTCAGATTAAAAACGACGGACAATATGTAGGTATTAAGTTTCTAAAATCATTAATTCATTAATCATTTCACGCACTTCTCAGCTCACACTGACTAACTCTATTATTTGAACACTGCAGTAGCAATAATGCCATGCTTATAAACACGGCTGTTTTGAAATTAAATCACACTGGTCCCAGTTCATACATTATATTAGAAAAAGAATTTTCGACATTCAACATGGCTTGAGTGCAAATACTAATACATATTTTGACAAACTACCAATCTTATACTATATTTTTGGAAACTAACGTGAAATCTGATGATGGTTAATGAATGAGTGGTGAAAGGTGAAACGGTCTGTAGATTACTTAGTAGAAGAATTATGAAAATCACTTGCCTGTCGTACAGATTTTGAATTTATAGAATGACCATTTCTGTTCTTATTTTTAGGCAATAAGCGTATAATTTAAGAATTGAAAATAATAGTCGGTGCAGAAGGCATTAGGCATTATTTGCACCCTTAGTAACTTACCAGCCGATAGCTTTTAAAATAAGTATAGTGTATCAAACTTAATATGTACCGAGGGGTAAACCGCTGAGAAAAATTTGCACCCTAATTCCCAGGATGGTAACTAATTCATCTAATTCCCCTAATTCCCTTCTAATTTCCCTGATATTTCTAATTCCCGAATTAATTCCCTTCTAATTCCCCTAATTTTACTAATTCCCTACTAATTCACCAAATCTATCACAAAATGGTGTAGAATAAATCAAGAATATTTAGATGTTTGCACTATTACATGTTAAAATAAAAAAGCTGGAAAAAATACATGGGTAGCTTCTGTTTAGTCGGTGGTTTAGTCCTTTTCATAGTCAAGGTCGGAATTTTTGGGAGGTGATTTCTCCAATATTTTCCGACGTGTTTTCCTTGTACTGCCTATAATTCTTTTTAATCAGTCAGTACTTACCTACTCTTCAGTTAAACTGATCTGAAAGCCAGCAGCACAATGACTTTTTAAGGATTGGAGAATTTTTACCAACAACGTTGAAGTTTATACCAACTTGTTTCCAAAGTATCACATTCGTGATCTTCATGAGAAATTTCCAAGTTTTTTTTTTTTTTTGAAATTAAGTCCATGACTATATCGCCCTCATTACTAGCGTCATTTGTGTTTGCCACATCTTGGTCATTTTCATTTTCTTCAAGGTTTTTGTCAACTTCAACATCGCCTTCCTCTATCTCTATGTTTTCCTGTGTACCTATATCCGATATTTTGTATTCGTTTTATTGAAGGTCCCTGCATATATCTCTAATCGCTTTCTTTAGCATTGAGACCGAATTGTCTCATATTCTCTATGACATTTTGTTTCTTCAATTGAGAATTTCTTCTTTACATGGTAGTGTTTGTTCTGGCATTTTTATTCCATCAGGTTTTAGGAAACAAGTAGATACGCATATTTGTTCAAATATTTGTGGTGTCTTGTACATAATTCTTCATTTTTTTTCACTACTGCAGTGGTACCACTCCCACTCTGGAACTGGCGAAGAATGTAGTAGTTCTGTATCTTCTGGGATTGTTTTGTTTTTTTCTTTTTATTCAGGAGCTAAACGAGACATCAAATTTTTTTTTTTTATTAATTTAAATGCATATCTCTTAGAAGGCGATTATCCGTCTGAGGGAAAATCCCATAATTGTGATGCCAAATTTCTTAGCTTTCTCCTTCATCCATTCCCATCTCAAAGTGACCTGCTCAGTAGTCAATGAATTATCAGTTCCGAATAAGGACAGACAGTATGTCGATGTCCCAGCATGTAACGGTTGAGCCAGTATTAGATAGGCATTACTACTTGTACTCCAGTTTGAATATATGTCTTGATTGCTTCAGCGAAAGTGGCAGGAAACGTACCTTGTTGACTCAGTCCTTCCAGGAATCTATTCAGCGTAGTTTGAGCTAGTAGAATTTTTGAGTAGTCGAGCTAAATCTGGCACAGGTTCGTCAGTCTATTGGACAGTTTCTATTTCACTTATATTCTCCAAAAGTTCCTCAGCTAGTTCATTATTTCCACATACTTACTAGAAGATTCTCTTAACGGAATTTCAGTTCATTGTAAACAAAACGCAATAAATGCATTTCCTTTCAAGAAAAATTATAAAATAAATAATATAAAACGTATTGATAAATCCATTTATGTTTCATTGGATACACTGGATCCCTAGCAGTTCTATGTGATGCGACGTTGACTGATTTGGTTTCTATAATTTCCCATTAATTCCACCATTCTCTTACTAATTCTCTGAATTTCCCGACTAATTCCCCGAATTTCCCAACTAATTCCCCAAATTCCCTAACTAATTCCCATAATTTCCCAGTAGTTTCTAAAATTCCTCAATAATTCCTCTAATTCCCCTCTAATTCCTCTAATTTCTTTCTAATTCCTGATGACTGTACACCAAAATTTTCTTGCGGTTAACCCCTCGATATGTACATATTTAACTTGCTGTTTTTCGAACTATTGTATCCAGATATTGAACTTCATATTATCTTCTTGATCTTTGTCATAAAGCTACCTCAATTTCAACAATATTTTTCTTCTTATTTCAGGCATGTATGATGGGAACGAACACACCCCGAAATTGCTTCAATGCTCCCACACAGTTTGTCTTCATTGTCTCACCCGCATCGCAGCATCGCAAACACGGGACACCGGATCGTTTCGATGTCCGATTTGCAGAGAGTTGATTACCATACCGCGAGGGGGTGTAAGCGCGCTACCTCCCTCGTTTCTGGTGAATCAGTTGCTGGATCTGATGTCGCGACAGAGAAGAGAGGTTGGTAAAATAAAACATCAGTTACTAACATCAGTCATCATCGTTTTTTACTATCCAGGGTCCTTATTCTGGAAACAGGGGAGCAGGGTTCCCAGGAGAATGAGTGTTCCGTCTTTCTCAATGATATGCAACTGATAATATAAGTAGCAAAAACGGAACACTCGTTCTCCTGTTTCAAGAATAAGGACCCAGAAATGTTGGAGAGTAGGAAGTCTCTGCCAAATTTTTTTGTAATATTCTTCCGATAATCAATTGGACAAATCACATACCTAGTATTCTTGTGATATTATCAATTCGTCGCCACTTCATTTTCCATAAAAAGGGTTGTCAAAATCTGCGTGAAAGTTTTAATCAGGTAAGACTTCGCCTAAGAACAAAATGATAAAGAGGAATTGGAAATTTAGCGACTGTCTTGATTAGCATACGGACAACCACCTGGATTTCAAGAAAGTTCCAGTTTCAGTCCAATAATGGTAAAGATATATACTGGCTCCACACTGGATTCGTTTTGGGGTAAGCTGCAAAAGATGCGACCTCTGTGTTTTGACGAAAGGATCTATAATCGAAGAAAAATTTAGCAGTACGGTACGTGTCTGGTTCCCCCTGAAAGAGAATTACAGTAGATATTGCGAGTCCTTGTCCTGCAACAGATCGAGGAAGTACCTTATGGTTACTGTATTATTTTTCAAAGTGGTTAGAGGTAGTTCTGATTCGTAATCAAGCAAGAAGAACCCATGCGGGGCGAACGACAGCTTTAAGAACCGCAGTAGTGTTATTCAAGTTGGGGAAATGGTGCACAATCTTGCAAAACTGCCAGAGACTAGAAAATACACGAATGGGATTTTACCGCGCAATAGTCCAGCAAATTCGACGGAAACAAATTATGTACTTAGACGATTCTAAAAGCAACGAGGCGGTATAAAACGGAGTCGGCCACACAGACGGTGATAAATTATAAGCCAGTGTATCAACAATCGGTTAGTAAGTACAAAGCAAATAAGTTAATGATTTGTGGAACTCGAGTCGATAGTAAGACAGTGAGTTGTGATTTAGTTATGTGATTAGCTCGAATATAGCAACGTTTGGAAGTGATCTACTGTTAAAACTTAGCTACAGTATTAACTGCATTACAGACATTTTGGAAGAAGTTAGAAAGATTTTTTTTATTTTTTTTTTTGAGAAAAATCTTTTTAACAATTTCCATTGCCAACGAAAGCTCAGACCAATCAGTGTAGTTCAACGCCGGTAGGGGTTTTTGCCCTCGGAGTAGTTGTTTCTGACTGGTCAACGAAGTTCATTTTGGAAGAAGGTTTGAAGTTCTCTAGTAGGCATTTAACTCTAAATTGTCTGATGGTATGTTCTGGTACTTTTTTTCTTTTAAAAATCCAAAAATCAAGTGCTGACTACCAAAAATCAAGCAGGACATATGCAAGGTTTATTTGCAGGACATGGAAAAACAAGTTATCGGCTGTGATAGTAGTTTCCATGAAAAATAATTTATTTCGCTAAGAAATGGATCAAAATGTTCGAATTCTCACCCAAAAAAAGACCGAAAGCTCTAAAGATTCTGATTGAAGACAATTAAAGACTCTGTTGCTTTAAAAATACATGGTACACTCTGGACAAGGGCACAACAAAAGAGACGCTCTCTTTAATTTCACGAGATTGGAGGAACAACATGCGGGAAGAAGATAAGCAATTTTACAAAGAAAATGTGGTCAAAACAAAACTATGTGGAACGCGTAACAGCGAAACTACTGGTTCGAGAATTGAGAATATTCTTCTGATCTGCCCGACCAAATTTATTAGAAGTACAAACTTTATCTGTATTTTATTTAGCTAGAATTGGGGATAGAAAAATAAGAAGAAAATACAAACAATATGTACAATTATTGACTTCCCATGTTGTGTACGCTCGATCAGCTTTGACCACAGTTTCTTTGACGAAGTTTATAGTTTTGGCGGACTTTTCATGGAGCACACTTGACCTCATTCATAAAAATTATTAAATATCATGGAAACATGTTAAATTTGACTACTAAACAAAACAGCCTTTAAGTTCATGTTCTTTATTCCTATTGAAAAGATAATATTAATGTATGTGAAAATAAAAAACTTCCATGATTTTCAGGTTATTCCTAAATGTTCAGTACACATAAACCAAGAATTGCTATTTTGCGAAACCTGCGACACAGTATTCTGCACGTTGTGCACAGGAGGATCTCACAATGACAGCACCAATAGTTGCGAACACACCATAATACCGTTTTCCATAGCTATCAAAAGAATGTCCGAAATTCTGTTATATAAGGCTAACGAGTGTATATCAAAGGTAAGAAATAGCTAATGTGAATTAGAACAAGGAAATCATTAAAATCCTTTTAGCTGACACAAGCGCAAGAAGGAGTTACATCAGAACTGAATAGGTTAAATGCGGCAAAAGACAAATGTTTAGAGCACATAGACATTACATTCCAACAAATTCAAGAGGCCATCAATAAAAGAAAGCAAGAAATGGTAGACCAGGTTAATCAAATGTGTAATGAAAAAAAAAGGGTATTGGAAGAACAGCATGGGTTAATAGAAAATGAAAAAAATAAGGTATGTAACCAAAATTGTGTGTTTTTTATACAGCGAGGTATACCATTGGGATCTCGGAAACGGTGAGAAATATCCGCCCAGGTAAATTGTATTTCCTGGCTAAAGAAAATGGTGGAAAATTTGAAACATTCCAAATCCTACTTGATGTGGTGGAAAACAGAAATTTTGCCAATCGTTTTCATTTTTTTCTTCGTTTATTTGAGCACAAATGTATTTCAAAATAAATTTCACTCAAGGTATCTACCTACCTAACTTTTAGCCAGCAAATTTGAAATCCCATGTTGCATCTTGCATCTTTGATCATCATCGACTTTATTTTTACAAATACGGACACTTCTATGCGGGTTAGACCCGTATCCGATTAGCCAAAACATGTGTCTTCCGGTTACTTTTCTCCATTACACTGCGGGTTTCCCCAATAAATATTTTTCTTGCAAGTACTTGAATTGTTTCAGATTTTGAAGCTGCATTCTGTTGAGCAAGAAATTGCGTAACTCCATCTTAATCTAACCAATTCTGTTTCCTAGATCCCAATAATGGTTGTTCTCGAAAAAAGAGCCAAAAAATGGAAACCCTGAATTGTGCGTATTTAATTTTTTGTGACTTCTTAGGTCGAGCAAGAATGTCAAGGTCTTCAATATCAAGTAGAAGTGAGAAATATAACTCAGAAAATTGAAATTTTGACAGAAAAACTGGATACAGCGTTTAGTTTAGGAGAACCGAGAGAAAACGCCTTTCTCACTTGCGATTTTAGCCTAAATGATAGCTTAGATCAAATTCAACAGCATTTAGGAATTTTAGGTACCTACATAATTTTTTATCGTCACAAAATTTTTCTTTTGTGTAGTGTTTAGATTAATTAAGTCTCTAGAATATAATTAATTTCTGTTCTTTGAATATTTTTAGGTAAAGTTAGAACTTCCACAACATTTCCTAGTCTGTGCACTGCCCAAATCCAAGAAAATATTGTTGCTGGAATTGAAAGTTGCATAACACTGACAACTGTAGATTACCATGGCAATGCAAGGAAAAATGGCGGGGATCCTATACAAGCTGATATACTTATAGTAAGCTATACATAATATACAGGGTGCCAATTTGATAAACTATGGGCAACATTTTGTAAGATGCTGATACCTAATTACTTTTAATAGCGGAGGAAAAATGTGTGATTATATTGAGAGAGATGAGAATTTTAGTCAAATAGTTCTTTTTAGAGGTTTTATAGCGGAGGAAATTTACTGGCGGAAGTTGGACATTTCAGTATAAAAAAAAAAAAAAAAAGTAAGGGGTGTATGTATGAATTTTGTACTCATCCCCAGAAAGTTTATTTTATTTCATTTCTGAGGAAAGATGAAAACGTCTATTTCAATTTTGAAAATGTGGATACAGGTTGGGCCAATGGAAAGTAAAAATTTGTTGGGCGAAGCTCGCATCTGTGATTTGATTTTTTTATACCAATATATTGAGACTTATACGCCATATACTGATTGGAGTGCTTTCTTTCTAGGTGATGGCGGAGCAGGGACCCGAACCTACTTTTCCAATTAGAATTCATGACTGTGATGATGGTACTTACAAACTTTACTTCCGAGCTCGAAAATCTGGAAGGTATGAGTACCAACATTATTTTCCTCTAAATTGCTCTCAAAATAAGTGCAAGTATAAGTACCTACATTGACTAGAATAGAAATACATAACATTTTATTATAGCCCTCAGTCTAAATTAAAAGTAGTACCTCATAGGTATTATATTATAACTCATGTTAGGTGATTTTTTTTTTTAGATATGGAGTTAAGATATCTGTGATGGATAGACCTATTAAAGATAATCCACTTTATTTTGATGTTACGGATCATAATAACCCAGTGGCCATGTATGGAACTAGAGGAAGTGGAAAAGTGGGTATACCCATCTATTTATTATCCCAGACATACACCAGGGTTAGAATAAAACCTGTTGGAATGCCTTTCTTTCAAATACCTAATCATGTGAAGTTACCCTTACAAACTTTGCCCATTCTAACCCAAAAATGTCCCCTTATTTTCTAATTTTGAAAATAACATTTGAAAGAAAAATTTAGACAATAGATCTAGGTAGGCAGGAGATTTTTTTTTGGAGTTTGCCGTGATTACGAATCTGATATAGAATTCTTGAAATTTAAAATGGAAGATCCGTATTAGTTGATTTTAAAAATATTCCTCGACTAGAAATATTTGTACCTACCTATTTGATTTAATGAAATAGTTATGTAGCTTACCGTGTATTGCAATTTTGATACAGAAAAAAATACATACACACTATTTCTATTGCTACATGATCTGGTTGTAAAATCATCTCATTCTATTCCGGAGATATAGCGAAACTAAAACTACTTTAGATCCCCACTCAGAAATAATCCAATTAATATACTCACTAATAGCTAGATTTTTTTGAGATATATTTGTCTTTCCATTTTATTATTTGTTATTTATATCAATCTGCTAATGTAAATATAATTCCTTACACTGCTTTTATTTTCAATTTCAAGGATGAGTTTAATCAACCCGTTGCTGTAGCTATAGATGAGAGAGACCAGACTGTTTACGTATTAGATACAGGAAATTCTAGGATTAAAGTGCTTAATGAACTATTTGAATGTGTTAAGCACGTCACTAATGATGGTCTACTAGGTAGAAGTTGCACAGGTAAGCTATATTCAGTAGAAACATTACAAGAAATATAAAAATAATTAAAAGTCGATTCAATTTCTTGTTCTTGAAAGAAATGATGCATTTGCTATATTCAACCTTTTGTCTATTTCACTCTAGATGCACAGTAAAGTATGTTTTTTTATGTGAATTATAAAATGTGGGCTCTAGTAAACTTCACGGCCCCAAGAATTTTGCGTTCTTATTTGATTTGTTTGAAAGCTTACATCAAATAGAATAGATTGAAACAAAAAAATCGTTGGATCGCACAGATTTTCCTCAAAAAATCACCAACTTAGTCCACAAATGTATATTATTATTGGCTTCAATTCATTTTTTATTACTGACAGTAATTCATAAAAACATAATATTTTAACACTTTTTTACTTCCAAGACTCGCATTAACCGAATTAAGGCACCAATATTTTCTAAAATATATTTGTTATCCATAAAAGGTTCTGGTGAACATTAGAACCCACAGAATCTAACAATTTTTGAGTATGCAATAGAAACATTATTGCATTTTGGACTTATTAAAAACAAAAAAAACGATGGATGAACTGAGATTTTTGCCAAAAAAAAAATTGAAAAAACGAAAGTTCCTGTACGAGTATCACGTTTTCTGTTGTGGGAATCGGCGTGTGAAGTTAGAGTGGGATGTGCTGCTATGTCTACTGGTGTCTCTAAGAAAACAGTGATACAACAATATCGATTTTTTAGAGATACTTGTTCATGGAAATTGCTTCAAAATGATGATTTGTTTCTTTATGGTGAGAAATATTTAAATTTGATAAAATCAAAGACAATAAGTTGCTCGATTAATCCAGTGGTCCTAGAGGGTAACTCGAAAGATATTTTTTTAATTTATAGAAAATGTTGTAGTATGTTGAATTTTTGCATGCAGAGCGATATCAAGCTGATAAGAACAGATATTATTCATTGATCTGTGTTAAAGGTTGAGTAGAGGATCACCATAATGCCTATTTTTGAAGTGCGTGGACATGAATTTATGAAAAAAAATATAATTTCTGTTAAATATAAAACATCACATTGACACTGCTGCTGAGCATTTTTTTAATATTGTGGACCACACTGGTCAGCATTATCCATTTGTGTAATTTTTTTTCACTTACCTATGTATTTATACATATTTTGATAAAATTGTTTTCTTTTTTTGATTTTTCTTCTGTTATTAATCTTGGAACATTTATGGATTTAGGTGAATAAAGTTGAGTTGGTTTATTGTTAATTTTCCGTCAATGAAACGCTTTATTCAAAAAAAAATTATATATGCGAAATGGAAATAATTACCAAGTCTTCAAATTCACGTTAATGGAAAAACTTGGCAACATTGTAAGTACCTAGTAATGTTAGTGGAGTTTTAACATTGACATGTGTAAATGGCTTGTGGCTTGTTTTATTATTCTTTTTGATGCGTTTCCTCCTTTCAAAAGTGCGTTATCCAGCGATTTTTTTCTTTTAAACTGTGTCTATACTAATAGAGGTTTCCTAAAAGTGAAATTCTGTGGGTCCTTATATTCACCAGACCCGAATCAGCTTATTTCCTCAGGAAATTTTAATTAATACGTTTTGGTGATTTTTTTGTTACTTTCACTGTTTCTGAAATAAATTATATTTTAAGTCATTCCATTATAGTTATTTATGTATCAAGGGAATTATGCAGGTGTTAATACCCCAGGGCAACGTTTGTGTCCTGAGGGCCTCCGGCCCGAGGGACACCGATTGCCCGTGGGTATTAACTCCTGATAATTCCCGTGGTACATAGATAATTTTATATCCTACTGAATTTACTGTATTCTGTCTATTTTTATAAAGGAATAAGCCATAAATCAAAATTTCTATTTTTTGTCAAAGTGTTACCTATTCAAGGTAAAAGCGGGAGTTATGGAAATCCTTAACTCCCTTGGGAGTTAAGACCCTGTTTATGATTATCGTAACCAAGGTATTATATGGTTTTAATAGTTCAGTAGGATATAAAAGAATTATAAACACTTATTTTTCTTTTTGTTCAAAAAACTATACGTTTTTAAACAACTGGGCAACATTTTTAGCAATGTGTTAATTTTAGGGGAGTTTTATTTTATCACTCCAATGTTTTTGAAAATGGCGTGTTTTTTACATCTTTTGCATGCGATTTCTAATTTCGGAAGTACTTCATCCAACGATTTTTTTCTTTTAAACTGTTCTATAGCAATAACGCTTCCTACTAAAAAATAAATAAATACGAAATCCGTGGGGCCTTGAACCCAGACCCTAAAATGTGTTTTCAAATATTTCAGGAATAGCAATCTCAAATAATGGATTAGTTGTCGTGAATTGGCGAACAAAGATCGTTACTGAACTAACAACTGATGGAGAGACTGTGAAAGCGTTTACTAATAATGCTTTTCAGGAGCCTATAGACATAGCTGTAGACAAGAGTTACGGACATATTTTGGTGGCAGACAACGGCATGAGTTGTGTCTTCGTATTCGACGAGGAAGGCAAAATATTGTTTCAGGTACGTTCTAAAATCAAAATGAGAGGCATATAGATTTTATTCTAACTCAAGTTTCAGCAGCTGAGATTTTCTTTCATGTTCTCCTGTGATCCATTATTTAAACTCCTCAAATTAAAACACTATAAAAAAAGCTTTTTACTTCAACTAGGTTGACCTTGATCTATAGATGCATATCTTTATTTATTTCCTGCAACTTTATTCGGTTTTTATGATGACCTAGTTGGCAAATATTGTCCTTTACTCTTTACTTTGTCTACAACAATTGATCTGAAATTAAAGCATGTATTTTTGGTCAGCTTTATTTTGTATTCAAATCAACTGTAGGCTACCCGTTCGTAGTGTCATACAATTAAGTACAGTTTTATACGATACAATATGGTTAATCTGATGGCTTAATTTTTTTTTCTAGGTTGGCAAAAAAGGAACATTCTCCCTAATATCTTCGGTATCCATTGGCCCAACCGGTGAAATATTTGTAGTGGATACACGCGTACAAATGTTTTCAGCCAAGGGTGATTTTATGGAAGTTGTATACGATGAAGGCAGAGGTAAGATTCTTTACAAACTTGCATGTACCCCTACTACTACAACATACAATTTTGGCTATGTGGGTCTGTTGTTCGTGCTTATTCCTGAAATCAACCTATTTAAGTTGTGCATGGCAACGACGCAAGTTGTATGTGAAAAAATTTAAAAGTAAGAATGTTTTTTTGTATAACCTTTTTATTCAGAATGTGATTTTCCACCGAAATACACATACTATTTTTTCTGCGATCGGTTAAATACCTGTTAAATGTTTGTCTTTTAGTTCCAATTATTGAGCAGGCCTAGGCCGGAAAAGTGTTTGCCGTATTGTTATTCATTGATTCCTTAGCAACTATTGAAACATAATTGAAATACCAGAATATTGAGTTTTGCGGCCTGTCAACCGGTCAAAAATGCTGACATTTCTTGTCAATCGCAGAAAAACATATTTGTTTGTGAGGGTATGTTCAAGTTCCTGGCCCTTTAAGTAGTCATTATCTGGTAGCGTCATATGGCTGTTCGAGAATTCTCTTTAGTGTAAACTTCACTCTTATTTTAAGCGATTGACCGATCGGTAATCTTGACAGATAAACCATTAATTAAGCGTCATTTGTCAACCAATTGGTCTTAACCAATGAACTATAGCTAAAAACTGGAATGCGCACACATTGCCATATCTGCCAAAAAAATGAAGCCATGAAAGACAGATGCCACAAGGGGGAATGTTGTTTTTTTCTGTTGCTCGCTGTCATATGACGTTTTCGAAAGTTTTGTCATATTTCCCTTCACAGGTTTCATCGATTGGAATACGTGTTGGAAGCAATTTTCGCCATTTAACATAATGAGTGCGACAAAAACAGGTATCCCCTCCGCAGCAGCTGCACTAGGCTTCACGTTCGTCCTTATGTGTTAGCATTTCAGTTTTTGGTTATAGTTCATTGGTCTTCACTGACGTTAAATGCATTGCTTATCTCTCAAGATGACCGACTGGTCAATCGCTTAAAATTGGCTTAAGTGTCCCCCTTCATCCGTGGTCGCGTCACCTTCCTTTCCTTAACCCTGACGTGGAGCACAGTGGCGTACCTGACCAGTGACGGCGTGTTTTCATAGTCGGCCATGCTACCGTTTTTCACGTTCTCGTGGAATTTCCCTAGTTGATCTTTTATCTACATCAAAAAATACTCACGTTAATTTGGGGTTAGATTCGTAACCTTGTTGGAGCTTACTACAACTTCAAAATCGTATTCAAGCTGTTTAACTTTTGTCAGAATCCATTTCGGATTATAAGCTCACTACTACTTTGAACATCTTCAAAATCGTAATCAAGCTGTTTAACTTTTGTCAGAATCCACTTCGGATTCTGAGCTCACTACTACTTCGAAGGCCTTCAACTTATCGAGGGATACGTCTCTCTATATTTCCTCTGTGATCGAGAAGAGCCCTTTAGGTCCTCGACAATATATCGATCGTGATCAAAAATCTGTACGATTTCGTATGGGCCACTAAACTTAGGCAAAAGTTTCTTGCTTTCGCTTTGGTTACTTGTAGGAAAAGTTCGAACTAGCAGGTGGTTTCGTATCTTTTGACTTTGACCTATGCATCGTCGTTTATCAAATCTAGCTTTCCTTTCGCTTTGTTTTAGGTCGATCTTTTCTTTAGCAGTTTGTCGTATTTATAACAAGTTTCTTTCCTTGTCAGAATCTAGCTCTACCTCGTTGGGTAGAACTGCATTCGCAACTCCTCTAGGAGCACATCCCAAAAATAACTCATAGCAAAGGGCGTTTTTTCCGTAGTTGAATTTCTCGTTGAACTCAAACCCCATCGCACCCTTGATACCGCCTCATCCCATCTATCCTATTCGTCAGTAGAAGCGGAGAGGGAGGCAAGAATTGTGCGGTTAGAGCGCTCAACTTGTCCGTTAGCTCGCGGTGCAGCGTTAGCATTGAGGATATATTTAATATTTAGTTCCACGCAATACTCCCGAAATTGTTTACTCGTTAAACAACTTCCTCGATCGGAGATAATTCGCCGCGGGACACCAAAGTTTTCAATTATACTCTGCAAAAAGTTTATAATCGGTCTAGTCTTCATCATTTCACCCTGTATTACTTGATACAGTTTCTTAACGAACTAGGTATTTCTTTATACCTATCTTCAGTTAATCCTGTATTTCTTGATACAGTTTCTTTATGAAATAGGTACTTCTTTATACCTATCTTCATTTCACCCTGTACTTCTTGATACAGTTTTCACCCTTTTTCTTGATACAGTTTCTTTATGAAATAGGTATTTCTTTGTATCTATCTTCATTCCACACCGTATTTCTTGATACAGTTTCTTTCTATAGAAGGGATTTCTTTATGCCTTTCTATGTTCCATTGGGAAGCAAGTGTGTACTTCTGTCCGTAACTCCGTAATTCTGGATCGTGAATTGTTAGTACAGGTCTCAATACTAAAATTTCATTAAGAATGTTGAAAGCTCTACTTTGTTCAATATTCCAATCAAATTTAGCATGTTTTTTGGTCAGAGAGGTTAGAGGCCTAGCGACTGTAGCAAAGTTTCTCACGTATTTCCCGAAATAACCAGCAAGACGCAAAAACTCACGAACAGATCGAATATCTGGAGGGGACTGGAAAATTACTAACTCCTTCAGTTTCTCCTTTTCCTGGCTGCCCTCCCTCTTTAGAAACTTCATGACCTAAATATTAGACCTTTTCTTCAAAAAAATTACATTTTGGCAAACGTAATGTAAGACCATGATCAGCTAATGCTCGAAACACCTCTTTTAGATTTGACAATCTTGTATCAAAATCCTTGCTTGGCGACAAAATATCATCCATGTAAGCAATGGCCTTTCCGTACCTCAAATTGCCTAAAACTTTATTCATAGTTCGCTGAAATATTGCAGGCGCATTACATAGGCAAAATGGGACCCTTAGGTACTCGTAGTGGCCATCTGGCGTAATAAAAGCTGTCTTTGAGATGGATGACTCTTTCATTTCAATCTGGTGATAACCACTTGTCAGATCTAAGCATGTGAAATATTGACAACCCTTTTAAACTTCCAAAAAATCATCTGTTCGTGGAAGTGGAAATCGGTCTTTAACAGTTTTAGCGGTAAGTGGGTAAGTGCCCTAGCACCTAAAGTCAACACACATACGCTGCTCGCCATTCTTTTTCCTCATCATTAATATAGGACTTGAGAAAGGAGAAAGGAGAATCTGATTCACGAATTATTTAACTAAGTATGCAATAAATCCTCCACAGTTTGTCTCACAACTTTTCGTTCATTGTGGGAAAGACGGTATGGTCTATATACTACAGGTGTATCATCATTAAGATGTATAGACATTTTTAAAGTAGGTACCTATCTGTTTTGCCCAGTTCTACGGCATTTTTTGAAAAGCACATGCGATATTCATTAATTAGATTTTTTAAAGTCTGCACTTGATTAGGATTTAGATTAGGGTTGCCACCTTTTGATTTCCGAAAACCCGTACCAACCTCACCGTCTCCTGGACTAATTCTACTGTCATTCATTTCAATGCATTTAATGCATAGTTTGACAAATATTTGACAATAAAATTCATATAATAGGACAAGAGCTGTGATGCTGTCCCAGTTACTTTTGGTGACGATGGTACATAATCGAAGCTAACTTTTTTTTGTAGCATAGGTAATTTACACTCATATCTGTAAAATGAATTTCAAACGCCACCCCTCGTAGTTACGGTCTATTTCAAAATTAAAAAAAAAAAAAAAATAGAGACACTTGTAAATGAACAGGGAGAACGACACAATACATACATAATTATTTGTTTTATAAGGCAGAAAAGCACAATATTTAATGCTGCGACTAGTGTTCCATAGCCAAAAGCGAAGCGAGGAAACCAACCAAGGCATTAAATCTGATCTTCTGCCGTGTGAAACATATATCATTTTTTCTCCGAATTTGTTACAAGTCACGCATAATCTACTTTTTTATGTTTAACAATTGCGTCGATAACGTTTGTTGAATGGGGAGCAACGAACTTTTCTGCCTAGGCAAAAAAAGTCCATTTTTCCGTCGCTAACTGGAAACCAGAGACGTTCATGACACACCTGTCATTCAAGAAGTAGGAACGTTCAGAAATTAGTTGGGTATATCCTAAGGCGTTCGGCAATCGCCTTTATAAATTTTATATTAGCTATTAATTATTCTGGCCCTTTAAGTAGTCATTATCTGGTAGCGTCATATGGCTGTTCGAGAATTCTCTTTAGTGTAAACTTCACTCTTATTTTAAGCGATTGACCGATCGGTAATCTTGACAGATAAACCATTAATTAAGCGTCACCGGACACCGGACAAACTTTTGAAAAACCGGACAGTCCGGGTGAAAATCGGACAGGTGGCAACCCTAATTTAGATTGTTGTTACATGAAATGTCTTTAATTTCAAAATCATTAATATTTTCGTTGCTGGCAACAGCCTTACAGTTTTTCCACAAACTATCATGGCTATATGAGGCTGGGTAGAAAAGTCTGCCCTACCATAATTACATCATCTTGGATCTCATTTGGTACTTCTAAGTCTCAACTTCTGCTTTCTCTCGATCAACCTTAAAATAGGACTTAAGTGTTATCAACATTCGCAAGAGATCCTCCATAGCCTGAAATAGTTACTGTTGATGGAAAAATCGGCATGTTCAATAACCTGACCACTTCTTCTCTAATAAGAACTGCACTACAGCCAGAATCAACATAGCATTTCAATAAAGTTCCATTATTTATCCAACAATCAAAATAATACGTTTCGTTAGTAATTTTTGACTGTTGAACTGCTATTTGATTTTTAATAGGCTGTCTAAGACAATCTTTCGATAAATGTCCTAGGCGTTTACAGCTTGTACATTCGATTCTAGGTTTTGGACATTTGTTTGCAAGATGTCCTTCATTCTTGCAGTTGTAACATCTAAATAGTTTAGGTTTTTATTGATTGGCAGATCTTGGAGCGTCAATACGTTTGTGCTCGTTTCGTTGGAACACACCGAAACGCAGTCGCTCTTTAACTGGCTTTGAGGTACCTACTTGGTTCTTCTGGTGCGAGGGAGGACAGATACTCGGCATATAGTTGATCGGGTGTCTCATATCTTCCCGCTCTAGCTCCTGCTTGGATACTTACGTCACGAATACAAATACCATCAATGACACAAGTTACTGCCTTTTTGCCAGTATCATCTACTATCTGCTAGTATAGGAGAAAACCTGTTTTCTCTATTTTAGGTTTTCCCAACTAGCTGATTTTTGGTCGGCCTATCAGAAGCCCGATCCTCGGACCAGGGAGAAGAGCTCCCCGCTAGAACGAATGTTTTGTCTTTGTCAACTTAATCGAAAAGTAAATGAGAATGATAAAGACGAAAAATTTGTTCTCTCGAGGAGCTCTACTCCCTGGCTCGAGGATCGGCCCGCAGGACGGTCAGTACTTTTACAGCAAAAGTGTTGTTTAGTGCTGAATCCTAGTCTTAGATGGCGCCACGATCAAAATTCGCTCTTCGAATAACGAAAACAAAATACGATTTTTCTACCATTTCGTTAGGTAAAATAAAATCAAATAAAGTCTGTTTTTTTTTTTACAGATAATTCCCCAAGCAAGTGAAAAATTTAGTAACTGTGTTGGCAACACAATCCTTTTCTACATAAAAAAATTGAAAGTATTGTCAATTTTACATTGCATTGCCAACATTTTGACTTTTATCTTAAAAAAAAAACAGACTTTACCTATAAGCTGAAGTTTATAGTGAAATTCTAAAAGGAATTAAAGAATAAGTAGAATAACAAATGATCTTTTATCTGGCTTTTACGTTAGCCAAATTTTATTCCTATACAATGTTCAATACATACGGTTTAAAATCCTTTTCACTCTTGAAGCAACAAAATTATTCACTAAACAATAATCCCTGACATTCTGACTGAAGCACAACATTTGCACGGGAGTTGATCGCTCCGCTGCATGTGTAAACTTCATTCTTTCAATTCAATAAAACAACTATAAGATAACGCAAAATAATATATATAATTATAAATTTTAGCTACAGTACTTCGCAACGTTCTCCACCATGCGCGACAATGCCCTCCCTGTGTCTAGTGTCCCCCACCATCTGTGTCGCGTCACCTTTCTTGCCTTAACCCTGACGTGGAGAACAGTGGCGGACCTAGCCAGTGACGGCGTGTTTTCATATTAAGGTGGGAATAGACTAAGCAAACATTGTTGTGCAACAGTTGAACAACACTTAGGCCGCTGTTGGCAAACTTGTTTCCGTGGAGAGAAAACATTGTCGACAAACCGTTTGTCAACATCGACTTACCTAGTTTCTCTAGTGTTTGTTCGGTGTTCGTTAGTCGGTGCCAGAATGAGCGACGAAGAAGATGCTGCACTCGCGTGGTGTGCCGTGGGTTCTTATTTATAAAAATAAAATTATCACGAAGAGTCCGTAAAAAGCGAAGGTGGTGGCAAAGACGTATATTCGCTAACAGAGAACGACAGTTTTTACCAGAATTAACACACTTATTATTTTTCTGCGAAAATAAAATTATACCGTATACACGTCTACAGTAGCGACGCTGTGTGCGCACTGACAACATCCCAAACTGTGCTTTGATGTACCGCCTCGGCAGCGAACACCGCGCAACAGATCGGCAACAGCTGCGCAACTGTTGCGCAACACGTACACACTGTCTGAACTCGTGTGTTGTTCGACTGTTGTTCAACTGTTGCACAACAATGGTTGCTTGGTCTATTCCCACCTTGAGATGGGTTTTCGCATAGGTATACCTACTCATTGCTACTGTTGTATTAGATTTTAGTAGATACTTATATACAGCGAAAGTTGATTCCAATTACAGTTGACTTTTTTGTATCGGGGTTAACATGCTGGATTCAAAAATCGTATCGGCGTATTTTTTGGAATCCTACTTAATTAGTGAAAATTACCAGTAACTAAGGTACCTAAAATGTTGTCGGCCTGTACATCAATATGTCATGAACAAATCACATGCAACTCCCTTTATTTCCATTTTCCACATTTTGTCCAACAACAAGTCAATAGGTCTGTTTCTGCCAGTGGCGGCTCGTCGTATAAAGCAACTGAGGCCGGGCCTCACATGTAAAAATTACAATAATGATGTAAAATTTTGAAATAATATTTATTAAATATTTGACGTTTTTCAACTATTTTCAATCATTGAAAGAATCAAAACATCGAATTTTCATTAAAATATAATACTATTTCTTGAATTTAGCGCGCGCTTCTACCCATTTATCTATATAGGCGCTCAAATCGTTGCCAGACAGCATTAAAATAAAATAGCAATCCCAAAAATGTTGGCCTCATGTGCGTCACAGAACGCCGAAGCGATGCCACGGCACTCCCCACCACAACGCTTCAACTGTAGGTGAGACGATAGCGAATTTTTATAGGCATTGAGGCGCACAATTTTGGGCTTGTTAATAAGAAACCTTGCATCTCTTGCTGCTCCGACAACTATTTAATTGGTTAATTGGCTCATACTTTTTATTTTGGTCTGTTGCGGGTTAAAAAACTGTTTTTTGGAATTTATTTTGTTAATTTGAAACTCAATATTTTTATTAAAATAAGAATTATGTACCCACTGCTGTTGTTTTGCAACTGTAAGAAATGAAAATTTTCATTAGAAATATACAAAAAAATATCCGAGATGTTCTTTCGATTTTTGGGTCAAAATTTGGGCGTAACACTTGAAAATTTTGTTTGGGTTTGTTTGGGTTAACTTGATGGGCCATGGGCCTCACCAGTTTGGATTGTCATGAGCCGCCACTGGTTTCTGCAGAAATCACAAACCAGTCAGAGCGAATTTCATTGGTTGAAAATAGTCAGTTTCAACCAATGAAATTCACTCGGACTGGTTTGTAATTTCTGAAGAAACATACCTACCATATAGACGGTTACACACGGACGTGGATGGCTTGATACATGTGCATACATCAACGTGCAAACAACAACGTGCATGTCACTTTTGTACAGACGCTCGCACAAAACTGTCAGTCTTGCTACTCTTGCTACAGTATTCTGAGTGTGCATACAAAATTTCTAGCGATTCCAGAATTCATTTGAGTGTCATTCTACAGTTCGCACATTCAAAAACGCGACGGTATTTTGCATACACATTGATGGTTTTGTTTGCGTGTTCATGTATGTGCGTACATGTTTTCAGACATGCACGTCCGTGTGTAACCGCCTAATATCAATAGTGTCGAATGCCTTTTTCAAATCCACATATGCAGTAATATATATTCTTGTCCAGTTCAGATGTCACAGACCTACACATACTCCAGTAAATCAAATCCGCGGTTGCTCCCATACTATACTTTTTTTTTGGAACCCATATTGATATAGATCAAAATTAAACTTGGTTTCGATAAATATAACAAAGCCTAAATTACTTGTACTAACCTAGAATTTTAGAGCTCTTGCAAGAACATCGGGAAGCGGGAAGCTATTCTCAAAACTACATTGGCGGCAATGTTTTCCAAACTGAGCACCACTGATTTCGAGGACAAGTTTGCAGTTACTCAAAATTGCCTCCTAAATTTTGTAACGTACCTATATCGTATATCATTATCATATGCTTTCATTTTCAGTAGTAAAAGATTCCGATCCACGCAATCGAAAGCTTTAAGACCCTGTTTTAAATGCAAAAAAATATTTGAACCCCCTAAGACAATCTGTAAAGTTTTCCTGGAGGAAACAACATATTTTTAATTTACTTTCATTAGATTTTTGTTGTTTAATTTATGAGATAAGAGATAATATATGCACATTCTATATAGCGATAAAAATACAAGACACTCTCAAAGACACTTTAAAAAAGTAATGGTTATTTAGGTTTTATGATTTTTAACTATTTCCTGCTCTCGATGTGTTTTTAATGAAAATATTTGTTTCAGGAAAAGGACGATATGGGGGCGTCGTCATAGATTCGGAAGGCCGAATAATCGCCACTCGAACAGAGCAGAAAGGTCGCAGCTATCTTCAAGTACTGTGTTCAAATGACAAAACGATTAACCAATGCATCGATTCTCACGACTCAAAACTCAAAAGACCCGGTGGCCTTGCAGTCGCCAATGATCACCACGTTATAGTTGTAGATTTGGGAAATAATTGCATTAAGAAATATAAGTACTGGTAGTCGGCTGCATGATCGTACTCTTGTTTTTTATTTTCAATTTTTATATGGTAAGATAGGAGACTTTTAGTCGTCCTATTTCTTGACACAAATCTTTAAATTATTAGTGCAATCCTCGGAACTAACCATCACCTTTAAAAAAATGTATGCTTGATTGTTGCTGTGATTTTATATTGGTGATCCAAACTTCATTCTTACAAAATACTTTTCTATCACTAACGTCATAAATAACCATTTTCTCATTTTAAATACTAATAGCCCTAATGGGCTGCTAATTATTGGCCACCATAGGCTTTAGACCACTCATGGCCATTTGCACCGCTATCACTTAAGGGATATTAAGGGATATTTGATTTAGGTGGAGCTTTTGAATGTGACTTTTGTTTCTACGAGAGTCACATTCAAAGCTCCACTTGGATTAAATATCCCTTAAGTTATAGCGGTGCAAATGGCCGTCACTCTCACACATAAAACTGTCGCACTCGTTCAGTTAAACCTCACTTTACTGTTTTCTACTTCCCAAACTTATGTTAGCATGACACTCTATGCAAAGTATGTGTTTCGCGCAAATTAATAATCACACGTGTAAAGTAGTGAGGTACGTTGTAGATAGGTATTATTAGGTCTTAGCGTGCAACAAGTTATGTTACAAGGTAATGACTGTAATGAGTAGATACCTCACTAAACCTCATATACAGTTTCGATGTTTTTTTCAATTTCTCTCGGTTTTACCTATTTCTCTGCTATTAAGTATTTGAAAATAATACCTAAATATTTTAATAGCGATTTGAAGTTAGATGTGATATAAGGAACTTACATTTAGAATGGCTCTAAGATTTTCGTTGAGAATACATAAATCGTTTAGTTTTGAAATCCAAAAAATCTATTGTTATTCCTTTTGTGGCTCTATAATTTTTGCAAAAGATAGGGTTGGCTCAGTTACATAGGATCGATAGATACAGGAATGGGGTCTAGGCCAACGTACTTGCTGGCTAACACAATAGTAAAGTACACAAGTACTACTACTAGGTACTACTACTACTACTACTACTACTACTACTACTACCACTTAGGAACAATGAATTTCAATCACTCTTAATAAAACTTGAGGAAATTTGAAATATAGAGCACATTCTTAATTGATTTCTTTGAGTTACTATTCCAGGCAAATCAACAAACCTATTCCTAATTTTTGTATTATATTTTTATATTTGACAATTTCAGAACTGTATAATAATGTAATAATATTCTCATACCGATTTTCAAAAAGTAGCCTCTCTATTGACACATACATAAAAATTTGATAGAATGTTTTCATTCCTTTTTATCTTGAAGCAATTTAAAAATGTGTAGATATATACACGATTCAATGTTTGTCATTTTCTTTATATTGTATACTACGACACCATTTTCCCTAGTTTTGTTTAAACTTTCAGCTTAATATACATATTTTAGTTTTTAAACTCATCGTTATAAGCTACTTGGATACTAGGTTTAGCTAGAGATAAACCACTTAACAGCTTTTTTGGAATATGTGATGTATTTCTCTAGATATCTTTTAAACTTTGAAAGTTGGTTGAGATGGTAAAAGATGTGTATGATGTTGGTTTAAAATGGTAGGTTTTGAATGAATGGTTTTGTTTTGATGTAGATTGTAAGGAAACACAAAAAAGTCGATCGGATTATTAGTCCGGGGGCCGAGGACCTTTTTTCCAAATCATTAATAACAAGCTAGTTTTTTCAATGCAGCTTCATTTCACTGAGACGCCCAACTTTTTTCTCTTCGAAAATTGCGAAAACAGGTAGCTAACATACTGCGCAGGTGTAAAACATGTCGATTTGGTGACTATGAAAATTTAATTAATAACAGTTAGTTTTTCAGCTAAATGTTGAGATAATTTTATGAATAATTTGAAACAACATTTGTCCGACAAAATAAAGGGTTTGGTCTACGATGTCCCTCCCCTCAAACATGTAGCAATTACGTTGCATAAAAAATGATTAATAACAAGTTGATTTTTTCAATGTAGGTTGGTAAATAGTATTACAATTAAATGGTCACACTGTCCTACAAATAAACATGTAGCTATTTTCAGTCCTACACTCAAAAGTTGTCGATTTCACGATTTAACTTTTTTCATTAATAACCGGCTAAATCTTCGTGAGTATCTTCATTTTGATAAGACGCCCAAATTTTCTGTTGCGAAAATTCCAAAAACAGGTAGCTGAATGTTGAGATAGTTTCATAAATATTATGAAACAACATTTGTCCGACAAAATAAATGGTTTGATCTAGGCTGTCTCCCTTCTCAAACATGTAGCAGATACGTTACATAAAAAATAGCTATTTTCAGTCCTACACTCAAAAGTTGTCGATTTCACGATTTAACTTTTTTCATTAATAACCGGCTAAATCTTCGTGAGTATCTTCATTTTGATAAGACGCCCAAATTTTCTGTTGCGAAAATTCCAAAAACAGGTAGCTGAATGTTGAGATAGTTTCATAAATATTATGAAACAACATTTGTCCGACAAAATAAATGGTTTGATCTAGGCTGTCTCCCTTCTCAAACATGTAGCAGATACGTTACATAAAAAATAATTTATAACCAGTTGATTTTTTTAATGTAGCTTAGTAAATATTACTACAATTAAATGGTTACACTGTCCTACAAATAAAGAGGTACATTTCTCCAGTCCTACACTCAAAAGTTGTCGACTTCACGGTAATATTTTATTCATCAATCACCGGCTAAATTTTCTCGAGCATCTTCATATTGATAATACGCCTAACTTTTCTATTGCGAAAAGTTGCAAAAGTAGTAGCTACTAGAGTGAGTATTAGTGAGCACATGTAATTGTGGTTAGGTGATTATGCAAATGTAATTATTAACAGTTAACAGTTAATTTTTCAGGTGAATAATGAGATAATTTTATAAATAATTCGAAATTCGATTTGAGCCACAAAATAAATGGTTTGTTCTGCAGTGTCCCCATTCTCAAAAATGTAGCAATTACTGGCTCATAAAAAACGATTTATAACCAGTCGATTTTGTTACTGTAGTTTGGTAAATATAACTACAATTGAATGGTCACATTGTCCTAAAGAGGTAAGATTTCTCAGCCCTACATTCGAGAATTTCGAAAATAGCCTTATGCATATTATACGTAAATATGTACAGGGCTTTCATTTCAAAACTTGCCACTCACGTTATCTGCGTAAATAGACAGATTTCTAGAAATCGCCGAAACATGTCAACAAATTTATTGAGGGGGTGCGTTAATTTGTTGACGTGTTCCGGCGATTTCCAGAAATCTGTCTCTTTAGGCAGATAACGTGGGTGGCAAATTTCGAAATAAAAGCCCCTGTATATACATATGTACGTATACAGATGCGTGTATAACTGCGTATGTACACATACCTACATTTATGTCGATGGTTTCCATTCGCATCGACGCGCATGCTCGTTAATAACACAGTATCGTAGTATAGGATGATTCAAAAAGCGCGCCAGATTTGAATTGCTCGAAAAAGAGTTTCGGCATGCCATCAAAGTAGAGGGGGCCATGCCCTTTGTCATTTTCCATACCCAGATGGAGAAGGTTTGATCCAACCGGTTCATCTTAATTCTAAAGATATTTAAAATAACTAGAGCTCCTTTTTTAATGTATTAAATCTGGCGCGCTTTTTTGCTGTATATAGGGTGAATACAGGGTGTTTTCTAAGTTAGAGTTTTTCTTTTTAAATAACGTGGAACTTAAAAAAATACAGGAGTTTTCCAAATAATATTTTCTCAAAAATAAAAGAGATAGGTACCTATGTTCATTTCAAATATTATCAAAAATCAAATATTTTAATAATTATATTTTTCAAAATACAAAAGGTAAAATTCTTGAATTTAATCTTTTTTTCCAGAAATCTGTCTCTTTACACAGATAACGTGGGTGGTAAGTTTTGAAATGAAAGCCCTGTACATATTTACGTATAATATGCATAAGGCTATTTTCGAAATTCTCGAATGTAGGGCTGAGAAATCTTACCTCTTTAGGACAATGTGACCATTCAATTGTAGTTATATTTACCAAACTACAGTAAAAAATCAACTGGTTATAAATCGTTTTTTATGAGCCAGTAATTGCTACAATTTTGAGAAAGGGGACACTGCAGACCAAACCATTTATTTTGTGGCTCAAATCGAATTTCGAATTATTTATAAAATTATCTCATTATTCACCTGAAAAATTAACTGTTAACTGTTAATAATTACATTTGCAAAATCACCTAATCAAGGTATTTTATATGTGCTCACTAGTGCTCACTCTAGTAGCTACTACTTTTGCAACTTTTCGAAATAGGAAAGTTAGGCGTATTATCAATACGAAGATGCTCGAGAAGATTAAGCCGGTGTCCGGTGATTGATGAATAAAGTATTACCGTGAAGTCGACAACTTTTGAGTGTAGGACTGGAGAAATGTACCTCTTTATTTGTAGGACAGTGTAACCATTTAATTGTAGTAATATTTACTAAGCTACATTAAAAATATCAACTGGTTATAAATCATTTTTTATGTAACGTATCTGCTACATGTTTGAGAAGGGAGACAGCCTAGATCAAACCATTTATTTTGTCGGACAAATGTTGTTTCATATTATTTATGAAACTATCTCAACATTCAGCTGCAAAATTAACTGTTATTATTTACATTTGTATGATCACCAAATAGACATGTTTTCCACCTGCGCACTCTGTTAGCTACCTGTTTTTGGAATTTTCGCAAAAGAAAATTTGGGCGTCTTATCAAAATGAAGATGCTCACGAAGATTTAGCCGGTTATTAATGAAAAAAGTTAAATCGTGAAATCGACAACTTTTGAGTGTAGGACTGAAAATAGCTACCTGTTTATTTGTAGGACAGTGTGACCATTTAATTGTAATAATATTTACCAACCTACATTGAAAAAAATCAACTTGTTATTAATCATTTTTTATGCAACGTATTTGCTACATGTTTGAGGGGGGGACATCGTAGACCAAACCCTTTATTTTGTCGGACAAATGTTGTTTCAAATTATTCATAAAATTATCTCAACATTTAGCTGAAAAACTAACTGTTATTAATTAAATTTTCATAGTCACCAAATCGACATGTTTTACACCTGCGCAGTATGTTAGCTACCTGTTTTCGCAATTTTCGAAGAGAAAAAAGTTGGGCGTCTCGGTGAAATGAAGCTGCATTGAAAAAACTAGCTTGTTATTAATGATTTGGAAAAAAGGTCCTCGGCCCCCGGTCTATATACCTTGTAGACGTGATCTGCTTATTCATTTAAGTTGACAGCCATAATAAACCTAAGATTCTACTTATTAGGTGCGAAAATATATCATTCAACGAGCGGGTAATGATGGCGTATACTCACGAGGATAAGGTTTGCACTACGAGCCGCAGGCGAGTACTGTAATCATGTGAGTGAGCAATAGCCATTACCCGCGAGTAGAATACTATACTTTTTCTATGATTATTGCATTAAATAATAGAAACGAGTTTTGGAATATTTTATTCAATTTTCGTTACAAAATTATTTTTGACACCTGGAAAACAAAGTTTAGGTACCTACTTAGCTCCAGTCTTATCCAAATCGGTTGTTTTTAAAACATACGTACGTCTACCTTCAATGTATGTTACCAACTTGCCGAATTTTCTCATTGGCTTTTAAATAGTTGAGTAATGACATATTAGTTATTTTCATTGGTTAAAAATAATTGAGTAATAAAAAAAACTCACTGTTTGAGTAATTACTCACATCCATCAATAGAAAGTGGTCGTATTGTATATTACCTACGCATATTATTCAATTCTCATAGAAAAAAAAATTATATTCGAAATTATGCCATCCTTCTAAAAAGAACGCAAAATTACTCTCAGTGAATTTAAAAGAAACTTTTGTGTCTGATAATCACATTGATCGTTAAGTTGCCAAGTTACTTTTCAAATCGTATACTCACAAAGTGAAATTCTGCTGTGGCACATAATATTATGTTCTTCTTCTTTTGTGTACAAAAACATCGTTTTCTAGTCACTAGTTGCTGTATTTTTATATCCAATTTGCTGCGCGAATATTCGGCATGCTGAAAATAAATATATCAAACTTAAAAAAATTGTTTTTTTATGACCCCCAGACCCCTAATTCTATTTTCATCATTATCCCAGGGAAATTAGACTTCCTCTGCGGAATGAGGTCGAAGAAGTTGAATTTTTGCAGAGACCTTCGTTTTGATGTTCTAATGGAGCACAAAAAAATCGGATATGCCTACCCTTAAGGCAGACGCTCACTGGAGCGTAGCGTACGGAAGCGCGGCGTAGAGTACTTTTTATAATACATTGTTTTAAATGGGAGTCTGCCGATCGGTGCGCTTCCGACAAGTGAGCGTACTCTCGTTTAAAACAATGTATTTAAAAAGTCCTCTCCGCCGCGCTGCCGTGCGCTGCGCTCCAGTGAGCGACAACCTTTATGCGTCTTGATATATCGAGGGTCAAAGGTTACGAAAATCGGTTTTTAGCAAAAATCTTGCTTCCAGTGCATCTGACGTCGAAGAACCCAATACAAAACTTACGTAAAATAGTACTTTCTATAAAATTGTTCATACACATTTTTTTGTACGACCAACCGTTTTCAAAATATAGCGTGATAGAGCGGAAGCGCGCATTCAAAATAGGAGATACTGTATTATACAGGGCGTCCCTGTTCAACTGATAAAAAATGCTAGGGTATATAGAGGAACCATAGAGAAGTAATTTGAGATAGGACACCGATTGTCGGAAGTGCGTCGTTTCCAAAATACAGGGTGTTGAAATTTAAACAACCCCCTTTTTTATCATCTGGAGGGCTAATGCTAGACTGTTCAAATTTCCAGGGATTATTGATGTAGAAATGATATTTAAAAATTCGTATAATGCATTTTCTACCTAGAACTACCCCAAAAAAAAAAAGAAAAAAAATTGAAAAAAATTGCTTTTTTTCAAATTTTAACCATTTTTTTTTTTTTTTTGGGATGGTTCCAGGAAGAAAATGGGGATGCATCATACGAATTTTTAAATATCATACTTACATCAATATTCCCTGAAAATTTGAACAGCCTAGCATTAGCCCTTCAGATGATATAAAAGAGGGTTGTTTAAATTTCAACATCCTGTATTTTGGAAATGACGCGCTTCCGACCATTGGTGTCCTATCTCAAATTACTTCTCTATGGTTCCTCTATATGTATACCCTAGCATTTTTGACCAATTGAACGGGGACACACCCTGTATAATACAGTATCACCTATTTTGAATGCGCGCTTTCGCTTTATCACGCTATATTTCGAAAACGGTTGGTCGTACAAAAAAATGTATAAGAATAATTTTCTATAAAATACTACGTAAGTTTTGTTTTGAGTTCTTCGACGTCAGAAGCGAGATTTTCGCAAAAAACGATTTTAGTGACCTTTGACCTTCGATATCTCAAGACGCACAAGGGTAGGCATATTCGATTTTTTTGTGCCTCATTAGAACATCAAAACGAAGATCTTTGCAAAAATGCAGCTTGTTCGGCCTCATTCCGCAGATAGCCCTTTTTTTGGTCTAATTTCCCCTGGGGTAATACTGTACAGGGTGGTCCAAATTGGACACTTTCTTATGGAAACACACTTTATTTTTAGAGATAGAAAAAAATGGACACCCCACTCTGAGGCTCAAATTTCATGAAATCTTGATTGGTGCAAACCACATTTTGGTATCTTCAACCGTTTAGCCGCTAGAGGGCGATTCTCGATTTTGAGCAATACTGTAAAGCCTCCAAACTTTTTTGTTTATGGAAATAATTCATTTCCTTAATAGACCTTTTGGAAGCACTTTTTCGAGCAGAATTCAGTAACGTTGTCAGTTTTTTTCTGTTTGGCTTCTATTTCGAGATATTGACCAAAATCCGATTTTTTTCAATAGTACATACTATATTAGGCCAAGGCACTTAGCGAAATAACAGCCATATCTATATATATATATATATATATATATATATATATATATATATATATATATATATATATATAAAACACAGTTGTGTTTTGTGGAAGCACTTATAACTCGAGAACGGCTGGACTGATTATAAGATTTTTGCTTTATTGGATTTGTCTTTGTCTATCCTAACATAATAAATCGAAAAAATCCAAAAAAAAACAAAACAAAAAAATTACCTTTTTTACTTATTTATGAAAAAAAATTAATAAGCCCGCATACGGCGCCACCTCTTATAACCGATACCAAGTCTACCGTCACATTTTCATTGCAAACCATGTGGATTTTATTGTCACACACTTTGCACAAAAACAATTTAAGGAAAGCACTTTACTTTCAATTGTTCTTCACAATAAAAATGTCCAAAAATAAATAGAATTACAATGTTTTAATTGTGTATTTTATTTTGTTGTTGGTCCATTCCGAAAGAGCGCGAACTGGTCTTCCTGTCATTTCTTGACGCTTGACCATTGACGTTCTGTGGCTAAGTTCCGTTTCTCCTCGCAGGCATCCCTTGACAGCCGTGTTCCGTGCCGACTGTTCGGAGTGCTCCGTCCGGCTGGTGTCGAGTGGCAGAGAGCCAGGTTATGAGTCCGCCACAACCATTTTGTATACGGCGCCATATATGATACCTAGAACGAAGCTCACCGATGCGCGGTAATTTCATTGCAGATGCAGTAGAACCATGCTGCTCAGGAACTGGAGATATTTAGAACAGAACTATTCCACTATTCTGATCAGATAGAGTGCTGCAGAAAGAGTAGATCAGATAGAAGAGTGCAGATAGAGTAGAACAGATGGAGTAGTGCAGTGCAGATAGAGTGATACGGGGCTGCGCTGTAGATTTTTTCTGTTTTCTTTACATTCTTTGAACATTCCTGTGCCTGAGTTTATTTATTTGGTGGTACACTTTACAAGAAAAATGCCCACAAGCTGCCTTAATTATTCCACTATTCTGATCAGATAGAGTGGTGCAGAAAGAGTAGATCAGATAGAATAGTGCAGATAGAGTAGAACAGATGGAGTAGTGCAGTGCAGATAGAGTGATACAGGGCTGCGCTGTAGATTTTTCTCTGTTTTCTTTACATTCTTTGAACATTCCTGTGCCTGAGTTTATTTATTTGGTGGTACACTTTACAAGAAAAATGCCCACAAGCTGGCTTGAAAGGGATGATGTTAAATTTTAATTTTAGGTGACTTCTGATCTGGAGAGTAAACATTAATATTCTTCAACCAAAGCCAAATTCGCCATCGAAAAAAACTGAACTTAATTCAGCTAATAGATACGTTAACACAACATTTAATAGGTATTTAATAATTCAGAGGCGGTACGAAGTTCGCCGGGTCAGCTAGTTTTAACATAAAATTTAACAGCAAACATCGATGCAGTATTGTTAGGGATCATTTATATATGCTAAAAACCAAAAATGCAACATCTAATTACTTTTAGGGGATTTTATAAATAATATTTAGTGCAAAAACAGGGCTTTTTTATGTTTATTTCACTTCACTGTATTTCGAAAACTAAGGATCGAATGGTTTTGCTACTGTGGCAATAGTTTTAGAGCATTGAACAAGCTTTAAAATGAGCCATCATACAACTCTGTAGGTCTTTTAGTCTTCGAGAAATGATTTTTTTCCCCCAAAAAAAGAGATTTTCGTAAAAAATTCCTAACTTTTTTAATTTTCCTGCTAGACAATTAATTTTTTACACATACATAATAGATGGGGCAGGCTTTATTGAGCCCAAATTTGGGCCCGGTTCGATGGGTCGTTTCGGCATAATACCCTTGTCAAGCAATATGGGGATGTTTCTAAAGTAGTCTGTCGAATTGAGGATAATTTTTTTATATTTATTTTGAAAAGTCCACTGATAAGTCTAAATGCCAAACTATCGATCCTCTATCTCAGATTTTCCATTTAATCTCTTTATCACAAGTAAAACGGCTTCGAACATGACTCAAAATGGAAAAAATTGACGGGAATTCAAACGAAGTGACAGCGAGCTCCCCCCCGCCCACGCAAATTACATTTTTTTCCATTTTCAGTGATGTTTGGAGCCGTTTTACTTGCGATAGAAAAATTAAATGGAAAATCTGAGATAGGGGATCGATAGTTTGGCATTTCGACTTATGAGTGGACTTTTCAAAATAAATATAAAAAAATTATCCTCAATTCGACAGACTGCTTTAGAAACATCCCCATTTTGCTTGACAAGGGTATTATGCAGAAACGACCCATCGGACCGGGCCCAAATTTGGGCTCAATAAAGCCTGCCTCATCTACTATAGTCGGGAATCTGAGGTGCTGAATTCGACCACCTCTATACAAGTCGCGAACATCCACCTAAAAAACATGAATTCCTATGTAAAATGACCTGCCGGATTCGAATTTCTTGTTCGCCCTTTGATCCGGAATTGCGAAATGTGTCAAAACATGACATTTTTGAAAAAACTGAAAATTTCCAGTAGTAATATAACTAGAGCATAAAATATTTCCGGAAATTTTTGAAAATTTTGTCTGAAGCCAATTTTTTAACAAAATCATGAGTGCATAGCGCCTGAAAAAATCCCGAACCCGAAGGGTGAGGGATTTTTTTTTTGGCGCTATGCACGAATGGTTTTGTTTAAAAAAATTGACTAAAGACCAAATTTTCAAAAATTTCCCTCAGGAAATATATATTGTGCCAGTTAAGTACAGGGGAATGACTTCTCTCGTAGTTTACTACTATTATATTTCTTATGATGTAAATGGAGAACACAAATCTGACAATGTGTCAAAGTTAATTATATTCAGGCCCAGTTTCACAATCGGTGGTAACCAGCGCTGGTCAGTCAACTAGGGGTCAGGGGTTAACTGGGACTTCGCTCATTAACCTGATTCACACTAAACAAACAATCGTTGGTTAAATGACTAATGGTTGAATTTTATTTCTCAAAGGTTGGTACTTGATTTTTTGACAAAATTTTAAAAACCACCTTGAAAAATAAAAAAAGGCCCCTTTAAACTTCACTATAACGTCACTTTTTTTGATTTGTCATTAATAATTATATAAATTTTTGTCAGTGGCAGTAAAATTTCAC